CTTTGTCATATATATATATATTATTTATATATACTTTTATCTCAGCTTTCGTGTAGAAATAATACCTCTTTCTCTTTCTCTCTTTCTTTTTATTGTATTTGTATGCTTCTGTATGTGGCGTTGCCGCTCAGTTTGCCGTTCGCATTTATCCAAACAATCCCTAATCGATAATTTCAAGCGGAAAAATATTTAACGCCAAAGTCTCAGCGTTTCTTAAGGTAGAAGCGGATTTTTTTTTTAAATATAAAGTACATTCATTCGTTTTTTCTCAAAAGCTTGAATGCAAAAACAAATTTGCAACTTGCATTGCTTATCTAACATGTATTATACAAAATTCATGTGCTTGAAAATTCTCAATGAAAGTTAAATGCAGAAAATGATTCCAAAATAAAGTTACATACAATTTTAAAAAGACGAAAAGATGAATAATTAATCGTTATGTAGGAAGCTTAAACAATATACAGAATATCTCGAGCTACGCGATAAACAGAAGAATAGTATTATCGCAAATTTCTTAAATTCACAAAAATAAGTTAATACTTTGGCTTTTTCGCGATAAGAGTTGTGCATAAGAGTAGGAGTAAATTTTTATCATAGGACACAATCTTCCTTTTTCTTATAGTAATGACGATACAAATAGATATAGGTTCTCGAAAATTGATATTTTCGAACGTTTCGACTTCCAGAGTTCGTATAACTAACGTCGAATCACTTGACACTTCTGCCTTCATACTGCGAACCCGTATCCATCATTTATTGGTATAATCAGAGTAGATACTTTACAGTAAGACACTTGGTAAATTAGACTTCTTGTTTATTTCTGCCAACAATTCTCGGCTCAAGAACGCTCTGTAACGATATACAATTACAAGCATGCAATTCCTAGGCGTGCCTCGTTTCTTCAAGGACATAATCCGCCTGCGAGTCTTGCGCGCTTTTTCCGACATAATTAAACATGATAATTGATACAAGTACAATACTGAAAACGAATAAAAGTAGCAGTAGCTACATCGATTGTCTACACGAAAAATTTATCATTTATGTAAACGACATTCTCTCAAATGATAAACTAAAAACTGTGTATGTAGACAGTTTTTTAAAAGAAAAACAATAAAGACATTAGTTTTTCATTTTAATCTTATTGCTTGGCTTGTCATTTAATCAACAACCAGGAAGAGAAAGAGATTATGTTAATTTAATACGTGTTTATTTAGATGTGCAATTTGATAGATTACGTAAAGCATTAATCTATTTATATGTATTTTGAAGAGAATATTTTATACTAAGTTAATATGTAACTAAATATCTTGTAATATTTCCATCAATATTTAAAATTTCGTATTTCGTTCTGTAACTTTAAAATTTGTTACATGTACTATTAATGATTGAAGCAAAAAATCGATTCTCTGAATCGATTAACACAAGTTCCCTTCCTTAAGCTTCACGTTATTCTAAGCCGAGCAATAAGATTATGCAATATAATATTAGTGTATAATGCAATATATAATTTACATTTGCATTTACAGATATATTAGAAATTTTATTTGATATTTCAATGTTTCGTGAAATACTCTTAGAAAATATTAATTAGAAATGTGTATTAGACATATCGATATAAGAGAAAATACAGAGAAATATGTATATGTTTTATAATACAAACAAAAATTATCATAAAAATGCTTATTATAAAATTATTCCTTTCGCTCATAAGCGTGAATAAAATGAGCACACATTTTTTAGTATTAAGCGCTGCTGAACTTATCTTCAAAAATATAAAAGTTATCTAATGATCTCAAAATACATATTCAATGATGTCATGTGCATTAATATATTGCGATATATTAAATACGTTTACATAAATTAAAAAAAATCATGCGATGTAGGAGGATATACAAGTCTCGCAGTTACGAGAACGAGGCACCGCCTACAAGTACAATACAATCGCGCGTCTCCTGTTCCGACAAATAAACCAGAAGGAATCGAGCATCCTCACGGCAAACCGCGTAACACCGCGCAATTCGTCGGGTTGATCGTTCGTAAATAGCGGTCGCGTTCTCGAGATCGGGCAACGATCGCGGTCCACACGCTAGAAAATACGTCAACAATGAGATACTCTTTTTTTTTTTACAATGTTGTTCAATCATAAATGTCAGAAATATTGCGGTTTCAATATTTTGTCGGTATACCAATAGTTTTAAATGATCTCACATACAATTAATTGCTAAATCTTTAACACTAATTTATCTATATCCTTCACTGTAGCATCTTTGCTTGTGTAACGTCAATAATCAATGATTTAATAAATATATATTTTTAATAGATCGCGGGGAAGTCGATTATGTTTCTTTTGTCTGTCTCAAATAATACAAGAATCTACAAAATGTCTTAAGGTTTCATAACATTTTTTTAAAGATGTGTTTGTATTATCTGGACTGACTCTTATTTATTCAAGTAAAATTAGAATCTAACGAAATTGAGCCTAAAAATTAACTGACCTTGTCTTCCTACTAATATTTTATTTCGAAAAACAACTATGTATATAACGCATTCACATTTATAATATTTATAAATAAAAAGATCACTATTTTTCACATAAACACTAAAAAGTAATAAAAATATTAATATTTTTTCCCCTTATTACCGGGGTATGAATTATTAATTATCTCGTAATACATGATCCCTTTACGCCTTAACAGTTAAGAATTAACATGACGAATAAATACAGTTTGACTCAATATGAGTCAAATCATTTGCACGTCACGCTCGTAATCGGCGTACCAAGCGATATGACAACGGCGCGACTGACGACGTACCCGATCTCGTTGAGCGCGCACGGCCGACACTTGTTGCATTTTGATTAAAGTGGATGCAAGGAGGGTGCGGGGCGGGCGGGGAGTGGAGGCAGCGAAAGCCTCGCGCACCACGCGAGCCCTTACAAACGACTAAAAGGTCTCACTGCTCACGCTCTTGATGGAAAAAGTTCGTCGGCTACGTAAAATGAACAGAGGATATGCATTGTGTGTGCAATGTTCCCATGTTAACCGTCGTTAGGTAGGTAAGTTCCTGAAAATTACAACCGCACCGTGCGCGCACGCGGCTCGACGGAGCCGCACCTCTCTCTCTCTCTCTTCCTTTCTTTCTCTCTTTTCGCCTCTTTCTTTCTCTTCTCTTTTTCATTTAGGTATTACACGTATGCGAATACACAATATTTACACAGACGCTCCGTCCGCCTGTTTCATTTCAATGATCTCCACGAGTACACTTCGCTTCGGTGACACTACACAGTCACGCACAAGTGTACAACACTTTCCCCGTTTTCTTTCAATCTCCTGCTCCTTTCTTGATATTTCTCCGGCATGTTTTATTGTTCCGCCTATATCACCTTTTCTCCCTACCTCACCGTACTCGCTACCGTTTTCTTCCCTATAGAAAAAACTATCTCTTCCGCACCCCTTTTCTCTTTTCTCCTCTTTGCGCGTTATAAAGGAATATAAAACTATCTATATAAAAAGATTACGCAAGAATCTGGTGGATTGCCGACGAGCGCCGCGATTCGTACCCCTTGCTGAGTGTTGTCTCTTTGGAATTTTCGTGTTAGACGTTGACGGAGCGTCTATCCCTCTCGGTCCCGATATGTGCACACGGAGATAAGAAGAAGTGCGTTGTGTAAGGACTCAGAGCATTTTTCAGCATTCGATTGGAGCGGCGTTCGTTGAAATCCACGCGTTTGTGTTGTTTTCACGGTGTTTTACGTAAGACTAAGTCGATTCCTTATGAAATACGTCGAGCGCATCTCATCGAGGACTATCCGGATACATTATGAGACGCATTTCGAATCGCAAGGAAAAGATTTTGCACGTGAAAGAATGTTTTGGTATCGCGAAAATTCTCATAAACATGTCATCATCGTTCCTTCTCTCACTCTCTCAACCTTCTTTCTATCGTGTTTTTCGATTTACTCGCTTATCTATAACAATGCTCATCGTTTATCCTCTCTTTTCTTTCGTTTTCCTTTCATGCATACACATACATACAGCCATAAACACGCGCGCGCTCTCTTCTACTCTTCTATTTCCTTACCATACTCTCGCAAAATAACTTAATATCTATATCCAATATATTAGATATTAAATAATAACCATATCAATATATTAATTTTAAATAATATGATTTCCAACAAGGCGCCCGCTACGCTCAACAAATGTAAATAAAATTAACATGATTCGAGGAATTCCCATAGAAATTACTTATTGATGATTTCATGATAAATTTTGGTACGTCGCGATAATATTAATGATCTGTATTAAAAAAAAGTTTCTCATAATTCGTGAATATGTTTTGGTTGTTTTTGGCATTCTACCGCGAGTACTGACTAATCGCTAATATGTGAATTCTTTATGAATCAAAATTATATATATAGTTATAAGCGATAATATACAACTACAATTCTCTCTCATTATAGATCTTAGAGATCGTTATGAATAAAAATAAAAAGATAATCATATATATATATATATATACATATAAATGCATACATATACACACACATATATATATGTATATATATGTATGTATGTAATGTATATATCATATAATAAATCAAAACTGCACGTAGAAGCGCGACTCGCGGTGCGTGACAGGTCGAAACACAAACGTCCCTGGCAATTAAATGTTTGTGCCTCCTGCATTTCTGGAAGGAGTCATTATTGTATTAAAAAACGAGCAAATAAAGATCTCTTTACTAAATATGGATACGGCCTTAGGTAGAAATGGCTTGAATCTTTTCGTCAAACTGGTCATTTATTAAACATATCAGATTTAAACTGTTGTAAAAAATATAATTTTATGTCAGTACTTTATTTGTTTTAAATCGGAATGCAAAATGTTCTACGAGTGACATTCGTTAACAACAGATTTCTGAAAATAATTAGAAGCTTAAAAAAAATCTTGTGTCAAAATGTTTAAGATTTATGAAAGATATTATTAAAAAATGTTTGTCCTGCAAGCATAAATTAAATTCTTCGATACAAATCAAGCCATTTCCAGTTTTGAAAAATTTTGTCTTCGGCACTGTTCGTAAAAATGCATTTTACATTACAATGATTACGTTTACGAAGATGACATATGTGCGCGGGTCGGATTTTGGGGAGAAGTCGCGTCCCCGAAACAGATGCAAACACACTATGGGACAATGGAAGTGTAATGTTGCACACGCTTGATGTTCGCCTTTCGTATCAGGCGCTCGGGCCTGATATAATCGGAGAGTTCGGTAGAGTACTTATACATATACATAACGCTGTTCTCGCTAAATAATCGCAATGTCGTCCCTGTTTTTGATTCCTTATCTTTGAAACTGTTCGTAGGTTCCCTTCAAGTTAAGGCGCTGTAACGCACGACATTACGGCGTCGCGCATTTGTTATCTCCTATGTGAAAAATATCCATTTAAGTGTTGTGTAAAATGCTATCTCACAAAAAATATGATTCTCTCTATAAAATTGTCAAATTCCACTAACTCGCCTAGAAACATCTTATACACGTTATCGAGATTGTACGTTGCTTTCATTCGTGCCGGCGGAAAATGGAGAGCACGGGGGCGGAAGTTCGCAATCGCCCGCGAGAGGAACATGCAGATAATGCCATCCATGGAAAAATATCATTCGGAACGTGTAATTGATCTATATGTTTTGGCCCGAATATTCGGCGCGCTTTCTCGCGCCCGATCCGCTGACATGAATTCCACACAACATTTATCACCAGAATTAATGAACGATTCATCATGATTTCTGTGGTATCGCAGACGAGCAGAATAGAAAGATCGATTAATATAAGCAGCGCGATAAAAGTAGCCTTGCAGTATACTTGAGGATATACATGAGGTGCCATTTTTTTTTCTGCGAATCTTCCTTGATGCAATGTTTTAAAATTTTTCCTACGTTTATATATAAAGATAGAAGGATCCAATTGTTTTTGAAACATTTGCGCACTCATCTACTTTTTTCACTTTCTCTTAATAATTTTGGATAGAATCGAATGTTTCTCTGTATGAAAACTGTTCTAGCAAACGGGTAAGACGCAACGTGATGGAAAGTAGGAAAAGTAGAGGATGTGTGTGTGTGTGTGTGTGTGTGTGTGTGTGTGTTCGTGGAATCGATAATTCGCTACAAAAACAATTGGATCTCGTCACCCTTCGAAATCAAGATAAATCGATCAACAGCGTAATTACGCTTGAAAGGAGACCTGCGGCCAGTTTCAATGTGTGACCTAAGCTTCCTCGGTTTGCATCTTACAGGAATTCGAGTCATCCAGGGTTCTTCACGAGTTTTTTCCCGCGATAGTCGTAAACACGTCGGCAGAAAAGCACCATGTCTGATGGTACTGGTATAGGAGGCTGCCGATTCTCTCTTGGATACACTTGGTCCCCTGGCGGAACTATCAAGCCAGGATTTTCTAAGCCCTCTTCGATCCTCCGTAAGTTTTTACGATACCTATAACATAAAAACGATATGCAGCAATATAGATAATCCGATCCTGCTTGGTTAAAAGAAAAAAAAATTATGTTTTTCAATATTAACTTCAATAAAAGTTTCCATGCTTTTATATTAGTTTATTACTAGAGAAATTTAAAAAATATACATTATAAAGTTCAAAAAAAAACTTTTACATAAATTATGAATATAATTTGTCGTTAAGTTTACACAAATAAATTAATAATTCGTACAAAGTATTCAAAGCTTTTTTAAAAAATCTATATTCGTGAAACATATTAAACCAAATTTAGAATAACTCCATGGCCGATTAATAAAATCGATAGACTTGGGTTCAATCAGTTCGATCATGATCTTCATCCCATATATTTGTTTATAAGAAATTGATGGAGGGGTTGAAAGGAGTTAAAATATTTTAATAAAAAACTGTGGGTTATTAATATCTGTATGTTATGACTTGTAGTCGGCTTCGGAAATGATAAATAATATATGTAATAAATTAAATTGCACTATATCACAGTAGGGAATTCTATGCAAGCGACACTATTTGCATCCCGATGACGCGAAGCAAATACCTCGTCTTCGCTATCGTGTGGCGTCCGTCCCTGTTCTGTGTGCTCAGGTCTGTAGTACCACAGCAACGAGAACATCATTTCGCCTAAAAGCAGAGTGCCATGATGTTAATTCATTAAATCTAAAGGAGAATTTCTGCATTTCTCGCGATCGAGGATATCTACCGTCGTCCGGATTCTCCCAAAGTGCCGCAATCTTCGCTACATACGGCAAATCACCCTTTCGCGTACCGCTCCTCAGCAATACGCAGTCCCGAGGCCGCAATACGTCACCGCTCTCGTGATTCATACTCGCGTAACATCGCCGTATGGCTGTTTCTTCATTCTAAGATGATACATTTCAAAATTCTATCAGATTCTATCAGTCGATCATTGTCTAGACCAACAAATAATGGCTAACATATCATATGGCAAATAATCATTATACAAAGTTCCATGTAAAACATGCAGACACATTTGCGATTGTAGCAAACTTAGACGTGAATCAAAATTATTTTGAATTTATCTGGAAGTGAACAGCGCGTACATTTAATCGTATATTAATTTAATCAAATAACATTGTTCAGCAAATTACGCAAAATTTGCATACTTTTTTAAAAAAGACAAATGTATGAACAGCTCAAATTTTTTTTATCACATTATTTACATAAAGCTAATTGCTATGTAGAAATCGTGTTTAAATTTTAAATCGATTATATTGTTCTAAATTTATCGAAATATTAGTATAATGGCAAGTCACAATAAAAAAAACAAACAGTCTAGGTTTATTTTGTTTTACAGTACAACAAAATTTTCTCTTGTCTGATTACTGCTATATTGTGATAATAGGAATCTGATTCCTCAATTAATACCAAGATTTGAATAAAATCTTCAGACCAGAAGTATCAAGGTTTAATTATTCTTACCGTTAGATAAACTTTGGCTTCAAAGGGCTCCCCCTCCCAACTCCATCCGTTGTTCCACTTCGGTTTCAGGAACGTTTTTCTCGTTAAAGTCAGACTCTCATTTCCAAGCGAGGAATTCTCCACTTTACAGCCCGACTTCTTGGTGTTTGTCACCTTCTTTACTGCTGTCTTTCGCTTCTTCTTAATTACGGCTGACTTCTTCGGATCTTCACTGACGTCACTCGCTTTGGTCTTAGATAAGATATCGCGCTTCTTCGAACTGTCCCGCGCTTTTGAATCCTGCGACCTTGACTTTATATCCTGTGCCTTTGTCTCCACGATTTTGCCAATCTTGCTCTTACCAACCTTGACCTTAGCATCTTGAGAAGCCTTCAGTTTCGGCTTCGCGTCCGTCTTACTTTTGGCTTGACCATTCTTTGAAACAGCCTTTGACACTTTTTCAATAATTTGCTCCTTCATTTGATCGATTTTCTTCGCGAGCTTCTTCGTCGCCGGCAATGATTCCTCTTTGACGTTCTTCTTCTTCTTTTCGATGCGTTCACAGTTCTTGCTTTTGCGATCTTTCCTCTGCGTCATCTGTAGACTCTGCTGTATCACATCGTTGATAGTTTCCATTATCGAAATATCGCTGGCGGTTCGTTTTAAGCAATTCACGATGCTCTGTTTGCCATTCTTTACTTTTTTAGTCGCGCTCTCATTCGCACTCGGCGCCTCCGCTTTGCGTTTTTGGCCTCGAAGTCCTACGTCTTTCTTCGTTTGCTTTTTCTTCGAGGTAGTCGGTTCCGTTCTTACGCTATCAGCTTTATTCGGTAGTGGCTCGATCGGTGCAATGACTTTGGCCGATTCCTCGTTATTCGCATCTTGAGACGAGCCCACCGATAGAGCCCTTTTACTAAGTTTTCTCTTTTTTCTACTATCCGATAAGCTATCCAGCGAGAGCTTCCTCTTCGTCACCTTTTGGCACTTGGGCTGTTCCTCAGTTTCAGCTTCGACCTTGGTCGCAATCGATCCCTGCATGACTTCCTTCTCCATTTCGCCCTCATTCTCTTCCTCCTCCTCCTCCTTATCGTCAACGGTCTCTTGTACGGTCGGCTCGTAATCAGGCTTTTTCCAGTTCTCATCGCTGTCGATCACCACTACGTCCAGTTCCTCCTTCACGTCAGGATCGCCGTCGAGCTTGTCGTCCAGCACGATACCAGAATCCTTGTCCATCTCCAATATCGCTATCTGTCCCTCCTTCATGCACTGCTCGCACTTCATGATATCGCACTTGTAATCCGACTCGCACTTGACGACGTTGCAATTGGCGACGCACGGCAACCCGTCAATCTCCATACTGCAGGATTCGCATTTGACATTGTTGTTCTCCAATTTGAAATTGTGATACTTGCTGCTGGGACAGCTCGCTGTCACGGACAGTTTCTCAGTGGGCGATAGCGTTTCCATCTTGACCTCGCAAGTGGACGTACACGCGTTCTGACAACCGCATTTCCTCAACGTATCCTCCGTACAATTTTGTTCGTCCTGCGAGGGTGGCAGAAAGGAAATTCGTCGGGTTACACCGGTTACACGTGCGCGATTCTGACATAATCGCGCAACAAATCTGTGAGCTTTTAAAAAAATGGGCTCTTGCGGCTTTTTGATTTAATTGTTATTTTTATTATTTTTCGTTATAATATAACATCGAGATGAAAATAAAATGTTTGATTTTCTCTCTATATAATCGAAATATCTCCGATAAATTGATTGAATTCAAACAAGTTATTCAGACTGACAGAATTGTATGCAAAATATGAAATCTAAATATTTATACACCCATATTAGAGTACTATTCTCGTAATATTTTTTTTTGTCATTATCAAGAAAGTAAAAAAATTATTTATCGTATTAAAAAATAGTTTCAGGAATATATAAAATGATATTTCAGTCTTGCTTAATTGGAATTGTATTTGCAGATATTTCGTTTGCAACGTAGTATTATCAAAATATTTAATATAAAAATTTTAAAGCAAAAATATTTGCATCGCGCATATTTCGCCAAATATTGTCAATCAAATGCAATTATATTTAAACGCATGTGTCTTTTTTATTTGCACATTTTGCTTCAGGATCGGTCGAAAATCAAGGTAATCGGAGATGATCATCAAAATGTTGATCAAGTGTAAGAGCGATAAAACACATACCTTACTCCTACAGTCTTGGCTTTGAAGGCGACTATGCCCACCGACTAGATTGTGTGACGGCGGGACCGAGGGGGGTTGGTTCTGATTTAGGTTGCGATGAGTGTTGATTTGGACGCGATCCGTATCCCAGGCATTGGCACCGGGAGGGGGAGCTAGCCCAGCTAGCCCCCTCGCCGGCGAGGGCGGACCTACCAAAGCACTGGGTGGCAATGACAGACCGGGCCCCGATACCACTGGCGCTCCCTTACCATTACCAATAAGGGCCCCAGTATCCACGTTTTTTGGACACGATTGCATCGGGCATGGACAACCCTGAAAGGCTGCGGCACAAACGGGATCGATGAGTGCCGTATCGTTTCTATCGGAGTATCCGGATAAGGAAGCTCGCGATGCTTTACGATTAAATACATAAAATTTAATTCAATTTGAATACAGCTCATATTAGTTTGAATTAATATCATCTCTCAAAGTAGAACTCGTTCGCGTCTATAGGATAACTTCAGCATTTACATCGCAGAAGTCAGAAAAAATAAAAAGAATGAGTGACCCAATCTCTCGAATTAAATAATATTTGTTACTTTTAACTTTCATAAGTACCAAAATGTAAATCAATCCATTTCTATGGTTAGTTTCAAAGTAAATAGCGTTCATATTAAAGTATGCATTTAGTAAATAATAAACTAAATTTGAATCTCTAATACATTTTCTTAAATTGTTTAATTCTATTATTTTAGTTAAATTAACGATATAAGTAGGAGCAGTGGCGACCTATACAAAAGATAAATGGATACATATTATATATAAATATATAAATGAAATATAATAGATAAATAGAAGATTCCTATAGTTGCAAAAAAATATGTCGACATGCTTAGCTATGTAAAGAACATTTGGATGATAAAATGTGCTTGACTTACTGCAAATGTTATCAGCGAAAGTGACGGTCTTTTTTACTCTTTTCTTTGGTATGATAAACGATAGAAAAAAAAATAAGAAGTAATTTTTACTTACGTATAACACTACACATAGTGCAGTGGTTAATGTGTAGGGTAGCTTATAATGATCAAAATGATCATCTTCAGCCATTTTGAAAAAGTAAGAATTAATAGTCTTGATTGTGAATAAAAAACTAAACTTCTAAATTAGAATAAATTAATTATAATTCTAAAAATTTTTTACCCGATAAATAATTTGATCATCAATTGGATGCAGTATTATCTTATTACATCTCTTGCAGTATAATTTGAAATTTTATGGCGTAATTTATGATGCGAAAAAATAACATCCTTTTCAAAAGATATGAGCGACAATTTTTAATAAATAATAATTTATATTAGAATTACTATCAAGTTGTATATTTCAAAGAATAACGTTATATATTTCGGAGGAATAATTAAAAAAGACGGATACATCTTTGTCTACTTTGTTTTAAAAATTGATTTTTAAAAACAAAAGGAGAGAGTATGTCAACTTGTTAATATATAGAAATACGTATTTAAATTTTATTAAACTCAGAAGTTTGAAAATTTGTGTCGGAAAAGTATACATCAATTAATATCGTATTAAATTTGTCGGTGTGATTTTCTAATTGAATAAATTTCAAAAAATCTAAGTGAAAGTAAGAGAAGGAGGAACAGGAAAGACGGGAAGAGAACGAGATAGAATTTCTGTCCTTGCGCAACGTCACGTAGTTCTCTTTTAGTAAATGATGATACTTACGGTCTACGAAAGGTCTTCCCTGAGAATGCAGATATGCCGGATTCGGAGGTGGCGGCGGCGGATGGGGGGGCGGAGGATATCCCCCGTAATAGGGTAGCGGATATTCTCCAGGCTGTGGCGGAGGTGGCTGATAATCAACGACTCCAGGACCACCTCCGGTGGCACCGCTGCCTGGCGGCGGTCCACCACCCCCACCGGACTCTTGATAGCCATAGTATTGCCTGAAAAGATACTCCTTTACGAAATGCATTGAGAATCCAAGCAAATATGAATACTCGTGTGCGTCGAATATCCGGTCTGCTCATATTGGTTCTTATTATCTGCAGATAACGAGATGAAAGTTACCAGAAAACGGACACCTTTTGGCATGCACCAAGAAGACATACACGGACTCAACAAACTTGAGTCATCGTGGCAAGAATTCTAAATCTATAGTCGAAAGAAATATTCAGGTCGTCCGCATAATTCTCTTGATCGATACATAATTCTTCAATCGATTTGGAACAAACTTTTCCGTGACGAAAATATCGTGGCACTAATAATATCAGATTCGATTGGAAGAGATATAGTTGTACGGATATGTACGGATTTTTTTACAAATCAATTTGATCAAATTACCTCTAATTGAATTCCAATACATACATTTATTTAAAAAATTCATGGTTTAGTTTCAAAAATACATAATATTAAAATATCTTTATACGCCAATAACAAATAATTAAAAAGTTACTGTGCGTGTCAAAATTTGCCATTTAATTTCCGCGACTTTTGCAGCAAAAACTTTGCTACGGTCTAGTTGCAGCTTTCACTTCTCCATTAAAAACGAGATAACGACGGTTTCGGAAAGTTAGCACCATCTGTGACCTAAATGTATTGCAATGCGACAATATTCTGTTTATTACTAAAACGTTTGCAGATGCTTGTTACTAAAACTGACGAATATTATAACAATATTTAACAAAATAACAATGTGTAAATATTGTGTGCAAGTGAAACAAAAGTACTAAATTTATATGCTATTTTATACACGTTCTCAAACAATTTGGATAACGCAGCTCGTAATATTACGGAATGGTTTTGTCAATATCATACATGTAACCAATTTATTTCATAACAGAGATTAAAAACATGCTAAAACTAAAATTTTATGTGACGTTTTCCTTACTATCTTTATCTCTTTTGTCAAAGCTAATTTAAAATCGTGCATGATTATAATTATAAAGATGAGAAAAACAATTTTCATACAAAATGATTACCAACGTTAATGTTTAACACAAGGTACAACAATCGTGTTTGATTTATTGTACATACTGTGCAATTCAATATTTAACATTTATAAACCGCGTTATGAACATTTATCAATTCTACAAACACCTATTCAAAGAAGTGAATTATCACCACGGAAGGAAAACATGACGGCGTCCGATAATGTTTTAATAGAATAACTGCTACTTTTCATATATGAGCCTTTCAGAAACCAAACTAATCAATTTCATGAAATAAAAAGTAGAACTGATAAAATAAAGTTAAGCATATGCTCTGGTGAAAAATTTACAAAAAGTAGAGATTAGTTTCTGAAAAGCCAATATAATGCTCTAATGCAACGATGTGTTACCAGCATTACGTAATAATTATCTTTAGGATTAACGTGTCATATTTAATGAAAACAGATTCTCGATAATGTTACTACAACAAATGAACGGCGCATATTCTTCAAAGTGGTATCTCTCAATCCCCTTCTTGTTCGCGTCATCATGCAAAGCGTCGAACGCGAATAAATCTCTTACCTCCTGTAAGTGGGCGGGTATTTGTAGAAATGCGGCGGATGAGGGTGAGGATGAGGATACGTCGGCGGATAACACAGATCCGGATACTGCGGCGTGCCGTAGTACTGCGGGCAATATGTCCTATAAAAGCCTCCACCTGTAACAAACGACCGTTCATTCATCCCATGTGTATCCTCATTGAATGTACGATGATTGATTTCATAAAACGACAAATAAACTTTGAATATTCGTTTAGCAGTTACGATGTCCCACTTCACGAGACGTTAAGGGGATCCTAAAATCATTTATTTGGAATAAACTAAATGATTAAACGCAATAATTAAATATAATTTTCGTAAATCGCATATATTACTTTTACAGATTAAAAAAATCCTTTTCTAGAATTAAAATATACGCATTAATACTAATCTGTAGCATGGAATTTATGCCAAGACCGACCAAAATGTTTGAAATTGAGATCTTTATCATTTCTTAGTTGAATATGACGTGTATATAGAGCTGTCAAGATTCGTTTGATATACTTAAAAGTTCTGCAATTTATATTTACAAAATTAAAAGCAAACTAACAGATTATACGAAAAAAAATAACTTCAAGATTTCAGAATTAGATACCTAGTTCGATCCGAAAATTTTTTATAAAAATTTATAATTAAGGTATGTACGATATTGATGTAATAGTCTGTAGTGTTAATAGCACGTAAATCGTATATGCATGTGTGTATATTCTATTGAATCCAAACAGCAATCCCATTGGAGTTCGGTCTTTAGTTTAGAATCCTCTTAAGGGATATCGCTGAATAATTTTCCTGCGTTACTAGTTACAAGGAAATATTATATTTATAAGTACCACAAAAGATTTTAATCTCCAAAAGAAAGAATAAATAATTAAAATGATATCAGGCAAATAGCTGCTTTAAAATTTATTTCATATAATTTAGTTATATGTATAGTTTATCGAAAATGCAGTTCTATTTAAAGAAAGATCACTCTCAAGTTTACACATATTTGACTTGGGTGATAGTACCAACTATCAGTACCGAAGGACAAATCTTTGGCAAGCTATACTTGAGATCTTGATATAACGCTCGAAGGTAGCCAGCGCTATATTATCGAAGAGGCTGATATCTGCATCCAATTAAGCCCGTGAGTGCTCGCGCTATTAGCCCTGCGCTCACGTCAATGCATCGCATGATTTAGAGTCGCTTATAATACGTTAATATCGTAGTGCGATATACCATTTGCACGCATGAAAAACGCAGGAGAATACATGCTCTCGTGGTTTAATCTCAAACCGACGCGACGTTTTTGTCCTACTTAAAAATGGCTAATGTACATTACTTTTTCTATGATAATGCGGCGTGCCGCTTTTATATAACATATTCATAATCCATTTCTGACACGTAGAAGAAAGAATTTCCATTAAGATCTGCGTCACACAAGAGATCCCGTTTTCACCGTCAGCGAATTTTCATAAATTTTGGTAACGCGATTCGTTTCGCTGAAATTCACGAAAAAAGAATCTAAAAATTGCTGACGGAATATAGAACGCGAAAAAAAATTATAGTGACGCGAAATAAAAGAAAACGAAAAAATGAAAGGTCGAAAGCTACGATTTTTTTTCGACGTTTTCCTTCATGCACTACTTATTATATTCAATCTTAGTATGCACCTGCACGGCTACTCATTAATGCATTTCCAGTACAGATAACCATGTTGGGTATTGCACGATAAAATCATTAATGTAAATGCGAGATTTGTATAGACCTATACTATATATTGCCCTAGCGAGACGTATGACGACATTTACCTAAGCGGCAAATCTATCTGATGAATCAAGATAGTAAAACTGTCTGATAAATGACATGCAGAAATGACCTTAAGATATACATTAATTACACGTCAATTATACAATTATCTTAGAACTTTAAACTTTTTCTGGTCAAAATTTATTTAAACATACCATTGATATCGAAGAAGAAAGATTTCTGCGAGAAATATTTAAGTTCTAAGAGAATTAAAAAAATATCTAATCTCAACAGATTTTATCATCTCAATATATTATTATCAAGTTATTTAAGTTATTGTTGCAATCACAAAACTTGTAGAAAGATACTGTAAATTTTATTCTAAATTTATAATTTTTTCAATTTTACGATATCGAGAAATGCAAGAAAGAGAAACATCCATTTTTTCTTTCAAGTTTCTAACAGCATCTGTGAAGTTAGCACCCCAGTTAAGTTTTTCAAAAATTTTTTTTGCATCAGGAACTCTAGGTATTCACGAAATGAAGCTATTGAACTGTTCAGAACTATTCGATCTCGAATTTCGCTGAGAAGTTAGCACCCCATTTTTTAAAAATTATTTAAAAATAGTTACTAAGTGAAACTCTTGTTATAAATTATAGAGAACTCTTCGTATCGACAAAAGGAAACGGAAACTTTAATCAGAACTATGGAATTTCAATGTTGGGATGCTAACTTCACAGACGTCTTCTAACAATATTTTTTAACTACAAATGGATGCTTTTTGTGCAAGAAAATTAAGGAAATTTTTACATATTACTAAATTGTAAATAATTTAAAAAATATTAAATTGTTAATACGAAAATATGTAAAAAAATTTCGATATTAAATAATTTTTTGTAAGAGAAAATGATTCTCTTTTTGCAACGTGTCTTTAATTATCATTATATTATCACGTGTATTAATTATTAGTAACATACCCGTACTGCTTGTGCCTCCTGAAGTTGTGGAAGTAGCGACCAGATCGTCCGAACCCTCTGAGTTTTGGGGAGGCGTGGGTGTCGGTTCCGGAGGTGGACCCTTAATGGGTGGTAAGGTTGGTGGTGGTGGTGGTGGGTGCTGTATCAGTGGACCAGCCGGCTGATAATACCCTGTGAACAAAAGAGCAGCGTTTGCACTTTCTTAACTGATCGTCTTCCACTTCTAATTTCCAATATTGCCTTGTAAACCGCTGTACGATCTTGCCGTTCCGTTATAAGAGATATTTTTGGACAGTGAATATTTTAGAGTTTTTGTAATAAGAACACAGACAAAAAAATTTACTGAATTTTATTAAATTTGGTTTGAATATAGTATTAATGAAATATTTATTAAATGTAAACGTATATTTATTTAAGTATAATTTTTTATTTTAAATAAATGTTTATCACTGTAAGCAAATATTTCTTTAATACTATTTAAACAAATATTTAATCAAATTCATTAATTTTTGTTCAGTGAAGTATTTAAAGAGCATATGTTTACATGATTCGTATATTTATATTTTAATACAAGTTTTATTATACTCATATGACAGTAAATCGATTTGGAATTAAATCTAAAATAGCTGGTACTTTTCAAAATATTTAATATTGCAGAATCTCATGATTTTTAATATTTATCCTTATTTTCATATTATTATATATACTTTTCTAATCTTTGTTTAATACTCTACGTATATACCGAGGTATATACGTTATCAATCAGTATGATTTCAACATACATGCCGATGTAATTTCCGTGATGTTAGATTTGCAAAAATTACGCTACGCGATGTTTAGAGTTTTAGATACGTTAAGGGTATTACAGCTAATAGGAGAGTAGCATGAATCACACCGTTGATAGGATAATACCAAAGCGTTATACTTCAATAGTTCATAATCGTGGGAGCGCGAGTAAGCCACGATGAGTCCCTCTAATCCTCCCATTCGTTCAGATTTATCCCTCAGCTTTGCGTTATGTATTTTTCAACATTCGCGCCGTATCAATTCGGAGTCCCTTAATAAAAAAAAATTTTTTCAAACTTGCAGCGCGAGACTGCCTAACATGCGTGCGCGAAGCCAAAGGATCATGCGTGTAAATCACTAAAGCACTAAAGCACTAAAGCGTGAGTTAGAACCACACACGTCGCAACAGTCTGCTCTTTTTTTTGCAAATAAATGAACGAACGAAATCAGCTTTCTCCGCGCGAGAAGAGTGTATACGATCGATATGCTTGTATATCGATCGAATATCCTAAGAGATCGTTCGCCATTTACTTCACCCAATCACGATTCCACTTTATGTAGGTTAAACGCGCCTCGTACTCACGCATGCCGAGGAGAGATGGGCGCAGCATCCGAGCGCGTTCGCGGCGATCTGATTGGAGCCGCGTCGAGCGGATGGGGTCTTGTAATGGACAAAGCATGCGAGTTGTTTCTCCACAGTTGACGTTAAGCCTTGTTTAATTATTGTGTTTAATTATAAAATCGACCGATATATGTTGTATTATTGCTCGTAAAGAATTACTCTCCATGACCGATTCGTTCTTGCCTTTCTTTTGAATTGATGACCGGAAAAAATAAGTCTGATTGCTTTAATTCGAATTCTAAAAAATGGACAGATCAGAATTATGTAGTTAAGTCTATTATAATTATAATCGAAATATAACCAGATGTTCAATCGGAATTCTGACTGATTTGATTAGAATTTATTACAATTCGTTCATTTCCAACCAAAGATTTGTCTGTGTATAGATACGTGATGGACCAGGTCATAAATTCTCTAATTTTCTATACTACGATATATCCTATATTTCTATGACATAAACTGTTAGATTATCCATTATTTGATGATATAGCCTGTACCTACATTCCGATAGCGTGATTACCCTACTATTATTATTATGATTATTGCGATTATTGATTACCGTTAGAAGCATATGTATTAGCTCTGTGTCTATTCTAATGTGACAACAAGATATAGACGTAGCACAACTAGTAAACAATTAAATTGTAGGTAAAAAATTTAAAACTACATTTCAGCTTGTAATAGATATTTTTGTTGCCAAATTCAAAAGCATTCTTTACAATTTTAGAGTTGTAAAGAATGCTTTTGAATTTGACAACAAAAATATCTATTATAAGCCAAGATTATAATATGTCTCCAATTATAATTTCGATTTATAATACGACGACAAATTTACAATTCTGATTACAGTATACCCGTTTAATGCTGCGTTTAACGCAAATTTACGCAACGTGATCGTTGCGTGATAATGTCCATATTCGATTTTCTTGCATAATTTTATCAGTTAGATATCGTTAAATATCATATCTTCCGTAAGTACAAAATTAAGATTCGTGAATGCATAAATCGAGAAAACTCCGACTTTCTCGAGTATCCTTACCGGATATTAGCGTGCTAATATGTAAAGTCTAAGATAAAGAAAAATACTGTTAATGTCTAGAATAAAATTTATTAATGAGCTGTAAATAGTAGCACAATTAAAATTGTATTTATAAAACCAAAAGTAAATTTAAAGAAATAAATGTTGATACAACATTTAAGAAGTTGATATAACATTTAAAAGAATTTTATGAATTCGGCATTTGCTACTTCTGTAATCACTGACTAATTATTTATATATATATATATATAATTATAAAAATATTTATACCAATAAAATAATATAATATATATTTAAATAATTATGAAAGAAATATATTCATGAACCTTTAATAAATAAATAATTAATAATGTAATGTAGATTAAGTAATTAATAATGTAAATAACGAAAGTAACAAAGTGATATAAATTTTGTTATGGATGTTTAAACAACCTTTCAGAGATAAATCTACCATTGATCGTAAAACATTTAACTGTTATACATTGTATATTATACAATGCAGCTGAAAAACGGAATCGGGTTGCCGCGCAATTTATTTTATTTAACACTTCACAATTTAATTGACTTCGTAAAAACACAATTATTCGGCCGACACGTGTAGACAAGCCATGAATCGAATATCAGGGCGTTGAAAGGCCAAAGTTGAAGACGAATGCCGGTCTCTGTGAATGACGTCACGCGACAATCGATTGGTGTGCTTACTGCTTACGCACACCGATACGTGGCAAGTACCGAACCGCTGCTGTCGAATTCATTAACCATTTAATACGGCTCTTCAGTAATCATTGCGGATTACAATTTTGCCGCATAGAATAGAAAAATCATCATCACGCTAATATAAATACGTATCTCCGCGATACATTTATCATGAGCATTAAATCTAGTAATATTTTCGCCTCCATCCATAATAAATAATTATCTCAGATTATACGAATTGGTAAGTCATATTTAACAATAATATGATTTAAATCAGTTAGATAATCACATTTAATATTATTTGAAATACATATTGAATATTACGATGTGTGAGAAAAAAAATTATTTTAATAATCCAATAAACTGTAGGATATTTTAGATTGTTTATTATTTGATATACAGTCTCTCAATTTTTATAAATTAAAATATTTCTTGTTTCATAACTTTGTCAATAAATGTGACGAACAAATGCAGTTCATCAATAAAGTTTCCTTATTTTAAAAATAATATAAGTTAAAAAAAGATAAATCTTCCCTCGAGGGTTCTTCGTTAGAGCATTCATTTACACAATCGCCTCCGTTAAATTTAATTCAATTCGACCTTCGATTTCTCTATGCTGCCACGCTCGCTAAAAACTTCAAGCAGCAACGCAAGCAGCCAAGTTTCCTGTGAAACCACGGCACACAGAGATGGTAAACAACAGGTTTACTAATTTTCCCTGTATCGCGTTGGCGGCGGCGAGAACGCACTCCAACATTTATTCGGGTTTAAGCGTTAAGCCAATTAATTCCACGTAATTTCGCGGGTGTGACGCGTTGGCGGCGAGGAGGTCGAAGTCGAGGATAAAGCTGGGCCAAGGATGAGGATCGCGGGCGAGACGCGACCGACTTGTGCATCGCGGCCCGACTTCGACAATGAGAATAACGAGAAAAAGACAGAGAGCATTGCTAGAAGGAGGGAGAAAGAAGGAAGGAGAGAGAGAGAGAAAGAGATTCTTTCGCAGCCGTATCGGAACAATTCAAGGATACCGCGAGGACGTCGTCTACGCGTATTAAGGTCGCCGGGACTGGTTCGGGAGCGCGGAGATACGTCGCGCAGATACACGCGAACGTGTATTTTTGATTCCACGTCGGAATCGCTTTGTGAATCTCTCGAAAATTGATCTCGGAGATCGGATCTTTACCACAAAGGCTTCATTTCATTTTACTTCAATTCCAATTTTCTAATTCCAGCACACAGGAAGTATTTAAAAACCTTTGTTAAATATTTCTGTATGTCTCTTGAAATAAATCGTGTATTAATTCTATGCCATAAGAAACAGTAGAGCTTCTTTAAACTTAAACTTTTCGTTTTATGTCAAAAAATCATTTTTTTTTGGAATCTGCGTGCTCTCTCTAATAATTCGATAGCGCTAACAAAATATTTTCGTTTATGTGTCAATTATAGAAATAATTTCGATAGTGCTAACAAAATATTCTTGTTTATGCGTTAATTGCAGATGTCCAACGTGTCAAAATTTATTTACTATCGTTTAACATTATCCAGGTTATTAACGGCTAAATGAAATTATCGCAATCGATGGCGCATTTTGCTCGTGGCTGCATTAAATAATCATAAATTCGCGAGTCATCGTGACGTAGCGCAGCTGTAGTACAGCTTGTTAACAAAATCGACGTTCAGCATCACCGTATGCAAGTGCAATCGAGCTGGGTCTGGCTACACAAATTAATCACACGATGTATAGAATAGAAGTGCACTCAGCCCGATATCTGGCCAATTCGCCATTTTCAATCCACTTGAACTTCTAGGTAGTTAAATTAATGTAAACGCAATTACTGAATTTGCAAAAGCCTAAATAAACAATTAGTTGTTAAATAATGTGCAAAACAAATAATCACATTTTAAAAGAAGATATCCTAATGTCCCATGCTAAATATGTTATGAAATCAGTGATATCGAGGAAACAAATTACGATACGATAACCAGACTTCTGACTCGGCGTCTCCGGCGAAGAGTGAGAATGTAAAT